ACCATGGGTTCTTTTATGCTGTCTTGGCGTCTGCTGACAGAGTCAGTAGAATTCAAGTTGGGCTGGACTTAGCTCTCTGGTGGGCTTGAAGGGACACGCTTGAGTCCTCCCTCAGGCTCATTTCGGTCATCTCCTAGACTTCCACAGACATATTTGCTTGTGCTTCCCACCTCCTACCTCTGCCCATTTTATTTCGCTAAGAAACAGCACCTTTGAAGCACCTGCCCTGGCCTTGTAGAGAAGACTGCATAAATAAAAGCTTTCCCGTCCTATCGATGATCTCTCCTGGGCATCCAGTGAACTCCTATGTCTCAGAGCTTCTTGGACTCATCTATGATGCGGGAAGCGAAAAGATGGCTTTTTAGCTTCTCCCCGTCGATTTGCTCGCTTGTGCTGGATGCAAACGTTTTAATTATAACCTTGGAGCTGGAGAGTCGGGGAAGGCAGGAGGACCGGACACTAGTGTTTTCCTCAGAGACCTTGGCAGCTGTGAGTCTTATCGGAGGGGAAGAAGGAAGGGAGGTTAGCGGCTCCCTCCACTTCCTTTGTAATTACTCTCCTCCGTGAGTCATGAGACTTGACCTCGATGCAAAGGACTGGCAGTTGTATTGAGATCCCGGCTCTCTGACTAAGCAACCAGCCTGCTGAACAGCTGTGGGAACTGCGAATAGTTCCCCGGAGGATTTTATTGCCCACAGAAACATCCGTTGTCATTCGCAGTGAACATAGGGATGTGTTTCTCTTTCACAAAAATCTCGATTTAGGGAGCAGAGTAGAAGGCCTGAGGACTCCCCGCAAAAAATGAGTTTATCCCCTACTGGCCTCTCCCAATTATGAGTCCTATGAAGTTGTAATTAACATACAGCTAGTCCTTGACTTACAACTGTTCATTTAGTGACCATTTGAAGTTACAACGGCACTGAAAAGAGTAACATACAGGGGTGGGATTCTACTGGTTTGGCCCAGTTCAGGGGAACCTCTAGCTCCTAAGATCAGCTGGGAGTGAACCGGTTTACTCCGACAATCAGCTGTTGGGCCCACCTGCCTGCCCTGGCTGTAGTCTGTGCTTTATTTCCAATGGTGGAGCACCCTTAACTTCTGGAGGCAAGCTGTTCCATTGAGTCTTTTCATTGTCAAGACATTTCTCCTTAGTTCTAGGTTGGATCTCTTTTTAATGATCTTCCACACGTTACTTCTTCTCCTGCCCGGAGAATTATTGGAGAATAAATCGACTCTTATCTTTTCTGTGTCAGCCCCTCAAGTGCTGGAAAAGAGCTGTCATGTCACCCCCTCCTCCTTCTCTTTCTTAAACTACATGTGAATTAGTTAATTAGACTAGAAGGTCATTAGATGAGAAGTTCATTTTTTAGAGGGGGCGTAATGGCTCAGTGGTTAAAGACGCTGAGCTTGTCAGCTGGAGAGCTTGACAGCCCAGGTTTGAGTCCCCAGCACCACTCAATGGGATGAGCTCTGGTTCCTTGCTCCTTCCCACCTAGCAGTTTGAAAGCATGAAACGTGAGTAGGTTCATAGATACCACTTTGGCGGGAAGGTAATAACATTCTATGCGCCTTTGGCATTTAGCCATGCTGACCCCAGAACCACAGAAAACATCTTGCTGGTTTCCTCATCCAAGAAACAGAAATCAGCCTTAGAGTTAAGCAGGGGAAACCTTTATTTTACTTTTTATCTTTTCATTTCCTAGACAATTGAGGCCTTGCCTACACAGCTAGGAGTGTACAGTCATGAATAATCAAAAATGTTAAAGTCCCTTGACTATCTCTTTCAAAACACCTTATTCCTACCGATTCCTTACTCCAGCTTTTATGTAAATGTGGCCTTTATAGAACGTCTGATAAGATGAACTCCAATCAGGACCATTGATGGCAACCCCTTAAATATTGATTTCTCTCCTCTCTCCTTACTTTCCCTCCCCCTCCCCCCACAAGGCTCAATTGAGCCTCCCACGCATATGTTGAGGGGAGCTTACTCACAGTCATATGATCTCAGCCTGTGACTCACCTACTCCTCCGAATCTTTGCCTTCATCAAGGGTGGTAAAACCGCAGCCAGCCGGTTTGCAAGATTACCGTTCTTAAAGAAGGTGGGGGGGTTTGAAAACCCACAGGCATTGAAAAAGTACAGCCACACACCCTCCCTTTTCAGAGCAGAGACTGTAAATACTGATTAATGGATATCTAACCTTGAAGGAGATTTTCAAAGACTTGATTTGCAACATACATAAACCTTTTGGCCATTATCTTTTCCCCCTCTTGTAATTGACTACTAATGGTTGGCTGAGACTTACGGTAACTACAGTGTTGGCCATTAAATAAAATATATGATCCTCTTTCATAGCTTCCCCTCTCCTCAAATAATTCCTATGCAATTATCTGCAAAAGCTAGACCAGTTTATTCTTATCCCCGCATGTGACCGGAAGTACCAATTACTATTATAGTGTAGCCTTTACATTATGAGGAAATAGCTACCGCTGTCATAATTCCTCAGAATCATAATTCCTCAGAAAGCTCAAAGTCCCTCATCCGCAGTCTTGTAAGAGAGAGAGAATGAAAAGAACTTTAAATGTAATCACACACGACAAGAGGAAAATATACTTTTTCAATTTGTGCCTTTAGTATGTCATGTGGATCCAGTTACTAGTCAATTTATGGCTTAAGTGTCACTGAATTCTTTTACCCCAGAAAAAAATGCCCAGCTATCCTATCATTCTTAGTAATTCATTTCAGGGGTGTGAGGACTTTACGGCAGTGTATCTCAATCTTTGGCCACCTCATGAGAAGAAAGGACTCACTGAAAAAGAGCCGAATGCTGGGAAAGATTGTGGACAATAGGGGATGGCAGAGAAGGAGGTGGCTGGATGGAGTCCCTGAAGCAGTAGGCGTGAGCTTAAATGGACTCCAGGGGATGGTAGAGGACAGGAAGGCCTGGAGGAACGTTGTCCATGGGGTCGCAATGAGTCGGACACAACTTCGCAACTAACAACTGTAGAGTTGTAATTGCAGGAATGTCTTTATCTTTGATGGCAAACCTCAGAGAAAAGAATGGTTCCAAGCAGATACAACTCAGGCAAATAAAGTTACTCATCTAAAGGAGGATTAGAGAGAGGAAGTAAACATATGTTGGACTTTGACTAGAGATCATTAATTGTGTTAGTTACTATGCTGAACAATAACGAAAGTCAAGCAGAAACCAAAGTTAACCAATGTTAGAGGATTACTAAAAATGTGTATAAATGCAAGACTAGATTCCAATAAAGTTCATTATGAATCAGTTGATCATGATCAAACACCTCGACTGCCTCATCATTACAACAACAACAACAACAACCTCAACCTTGGTGACTTTAAAATGTGTGGACTTCAACTCCCAGCTTTCCCCAGCCAGCATTATGGCTGGGGAATGCTGGAGTTGAAATCCACACTTCTTAAAACTCTCAAAGTTGACAATCGCTTCTCTATGATTCAAATGAACACTAGGCAGATATATATATATTTTAGAATTGTTGGACAAGATTTCTGGGCTTTTTAAATGCAGCTTATTTATTCCTCTATATTTCTCCTTTCATTTTGCACTTGTACGATGGAGGTATGTTTTACCTATGTAAGTCACATGGAGCCTTAGATGCCTCAGTCTGGGTAAAAAAATAAGGTCCAAGCTAAGCAGCATATACATGGGAGATTATTCCAATGTTCTTTGAAGGGTTTAGAGTTTGGACATTCCATCTTAAAAAGGAAGTGATACAAATCTTTCCCAGTTTCGTGATGGAATGAAAATGTGAACTCCAGTTTTCTCAATCTAGGTTGATGCTTGTCCATTGGTGGGAATAATAGAAACTTATAAAAATCAGGAAGTACCAATGAAATGCTTGAAAACTACCATTTTAAACAGTGAGGTCTTCCAATTAGGGCATCATTCTCTTTGTTTTTCTATTTTTTCAACACTTGTGATTCTCTCTCTCTCTCTCTCTCTTTTTCAATATTTAGTATATGGGCTGCATTGAAGTCCTACAATCAATGAGGTCTTTGGATTTTGGCACTCGGACCCAAGTAACCAGGTAAGTTACAGCATCCTATTCAAACCCTCTATATTTCTATGCAGGCAGAAATATAGTTTATTTTCTTCTTATTCTCCTGATTTAAAACACCAGATCTTTTCGGATTGATTTTCTTGCCTTTGTTCTGCATGGAGTTGCAGGTCATCAGTCAATCAATGAAGTTTTGCTATTGATCACTTTGAATGGATGTTTTTCCTCTGTATGATTTTGTTGCTGGTTGAGGGTTTTAAAACAGGTATTATTTTGTTTTATGAAATTGTATTCATTATACATTGCCTTTAATTGCTATATCCCTGCTTGAGGATTGAATTGTTAATGAAAAGTTAGGAGTTATATGTAGGTAAATAAGTAAATAAATATAAATACTTATATACAGGAATAAAATTTTCCTCCAGCTCTCCACTGAGAAGTATTTCATTGATTTTTCTCCCTGGGTAATCTTCTACTGTATTGTAATACATTCTGTATAGAGTATTATAAATGAGTCTTATCTGTTTTTCAATGTTTTTCTAATTTAAAGATTTCCTTTTTCTTAGGACATTCACAAATTTAACCCCACCTGTGCCCTGTATTGGACTAACACATCATAAAAATTTTTTCCCTGTTCAGAATGTTATCAGTTGCTTTCATTTTACATTTTACATGTTGGTTTAATTATAACTGTATCTCATGTTTTATTAAACTGCTCTTGGGCTGAAATAGCAGCTTTCTGGAACTAATTTTCAATTTATCAATAGCACGACAGATAATATAAATAAAACAGCATCCCTATCCTTATCTCAGTTCAGGCTAATAAATATCTAATAGTTAGCAAAATAAATGATGCATTACCCAGTTTTCCTAAGCAGGACACATAATGCATATAGAATAACTACTGAAGATAGAAATGCCAATGAACAGTCTGTTACATGGGGCACATTTTAACTGCAGATGTATCCACCTGCCCCCCCCCAATTCCTGGCTTTAAAGTTGCTCAACAAATTACAAGCAGTTAGTGGATAGTATTCATTCCAGTAGTTGTAAGCCAAGCTCTGCATTCAAGTTCTCATCCATGGGGGATGATGCAGAACCAACATTAGTTTCAATGACATTAATCAAGGATTGTCTGTCGCTAGAGCTAGTTCAAAGCTAAAGTTTTGAGGAACACCAGGCCATTTGGTTGGCTTGGCTTTTAATGCAAAGAATTCGAAACATTCTTTGCGTGCGAATTTGAAAACCAGCCTAGCATATTTATTTTATCATCCTGGCATGTCCCCTGTTTCCTCTCCACACTAGTGACTGAGTTGCTATCAGATGGAGACTAGGATTTGACAGTTGGCATTAAGTAAATGTCATATTCTGGTGCCCCCAGTTTCAGACCTGAACTCAGCAGCCAGCAAAGAGCCCGAGGCTGGAAATTATTTCAGTAATATACTGGTCATTGTTAATATCGTGTCTGCCACATGAATATTTCAAAACCACAGCAGGAAGCAGTCAAGACGACTCATAGTTGCCCAAGGGCTATTTAAGCAAAAACTATATTGTGTTGAGATCTCATCTGGAGAACTTTCTGAATTTCCTCGAATTATGTACTGGCAAAGGGCACATTTGACATTCTAGGCTTTACAGAAAGCTGGGTGACTAAGTTGTTTCCTTGCAACCCACAGCGTTGCTTGAAGTTGCTCTTGTGTTTCATGGCATGTCTTCAGGGAAGAATCTTCTGCATGATTCAACTGGCTGAGTTGCTTCATCGCTCAACCATAGTGTGTCTTAATCACGATTTGTTTATTTTATTTATTTCATTTGTCAATCTCTTACAAGATAATAGGTATAAGTATAAACATAGTTATGAATACATGAAATGGAGACATATAAGAAAAATAAAAAGAAACAGGGATGGTAGGCACGTTGGTGCGCTTATGCACGCCCCCTACAGACCTCTTAGGAAAGGGGTGAGGTCAATAGTAGACAGTCTAAGGTTAAAGTTTTGGGGGTTTGGGGAAGAAACCACAGAGTCAGGTAGAGGATTCCAGACATTGACCTCTCTGTTGCTGAAGTCGTATTTCCTCAATCAAGTTTGGTGTGGTTTACCTTGAGTTTGTATCTATTGTTTGCTCTTGTATTGTTATGGTTGAAGCTGAAGTATTCATTGACAGGTAGGACATTGCAATGTATGATTTTATATACTATACTTAGATCAGACCGAAGGTGGCGTAGTTCTAGGTTTTCTAGGTCTAGAATTTCAAGTCTGGTGGCATAAGCTATTCTGCAACGAGTAGAGGAGTGGAGAATTCTTCTTGTGAAATATTTGCTGAATAAGCCAAGATAGCTACAACTGTGCAACATTAAAACAGATGTTCAATGGGCTACCCTGAAAGCTTGACAGATACACTTTAGAAAGTAAAGGATAGAAACAAGAAAAAAATATTAAAGGTGGATTCCTTTCATTTGATTCCCTTCGAATTAAATACGGTAAGCATAAGCCTTTCTTTGGTCAAATCTTCGTTTTCTCCCCTTTTCTCAAGATAACAGCTACAATTTGCTAATGGGGCATTTTCCTGAACCCTACCCATCTTATGGCCTTCAACTGATGGTTTGTGTAGTCCCCATTAAAGGAATATTTTCACGTGTGCTATATTGCTCAATGGATGTGGAATACGGCATTAGAAGTGTTCTAAATTATGGGGAGCGAAGTCTTAACGCACAAGCAGCAAAATTGTTTTTCCTTCCCAGAATTGCAGGTGTTTAATGCTATGCAGAAGAATGTGTCATGTTTATTTAAGAGTTTGATATTTCACTGTTTAAAAAAACTTAGTTAAGTTAATTGTATCCATCAAAGGCTCCCATCTCTGAGACCGAACATTCCATTAAGGCTGCATTAAAATGGCGTAAGCAGAAGCTTTAAACAGCACAAGCTTTTAACAGCTCCTTTTTAAATATCTTGCTCGACTTACAGCTTTTAATGCAAAAGCTTCTTTTAATAATGGGGCACCATCTCAAAATACAAAAGAAATGAATCTCTCCACCACCACCCACCCCCATTTTCCTTAGCTAAACATTTGCTCCGATCTGGCAAAGGAAGTGCCCTTATCCAAAGATTTTTGCACTATCAGGCACAAAGAATCGGGACTCAACATTTAAATTCCAGTTAAGCTGATTCGTTGCTCATGCGTTATGCATAAGGATCTAGTCAATGAATAATCAGCACTAAATTGGAGCTAGATAAGGGTCAATGGAATTCAAGAGGGAACGTAAAGACTCTAGGCTGGTTCCTCTCTTGACTCCACCCCCCTGTCTCTGCCTGTCTTCCTCTTACATGTACCACTTGTTTAATGGGATATCAGAATGTGCACTGAAATACTTTCTGTCTGGACCATGGAGGAGGCAGTGGAATGGCTCTTTCGTCCAATCTCCTGAAGACGTTGGATAGAATATTTCTTGGGATTGGGAGGCATCTGGAGGTTGTAACCTCTAGATCAGTGGTGTGTTTCAAATTTTTTTTTACCACCAGTTCAGTGGGCATGGCTTGGTGGGCACACTTTGTGCACGCGCACACACTTTCCCTATCTGCGCACCAAATGCGCACTTGGCGCAGAGGCTCACCTCTTGCAATCCTGCACTCTCCCTGTCGCTTCAGTAGCTGCCGTGTGGCAATCTGCTGTGCCACGCAAAGCAATTGAACTTCAAAAGCAGGACAGAAAGGTTAGTTTGGGAGCCCCGGCAGGTGGGGCTAAACAGCAGAGTGTTGGAGAGAAGCAGTTTGGTCTCCGCTGCTCATCGGCACTACCGGCTCGGTAGAACCGGGTTGAACCGGTAGAATATGAGCACTGCTCTAGATCAGGGGTCTCCAACCTTAGCAACTTTAAGCCTGGCGGACTTCAACTCTCAGAATTCCCCAGCCAGCTGGCTGGGGAATTCTGAGAGTTGAAGTCCGCCAAAGGTTGGAGACCCCTGATCTAAATGTGCTTGGACCCCATGCCCCATTATCCATCATTAGGAGCCTCTGCGTCACAGTGGTTAGAGTGCAGTACTGCAAGCTACTTCTGCAGCCAACTGCCTGCAATTTGGCAGTTCAAATCCCACCAGGCTCAAGGTTGACAGCCTTCCACCCTTCCCAGGTGGGTAAAATGAAAGTTCTGTACCTTCAATGTGCTCCCTTATGAAGGGATCGTCCATGATGTTACTGTGATTTGTCTTTAGGATCTTCTCAAATTCAGTGATGTCATTATTCTGATAGGCACTGCAGGAGAAAGAGCACAGAGTTACACTTTGGTAGACTGAAGGAGGCAGCAGGCACATAAATTTATATTTGCAATCCAAAAGGGAACATATGAGCCGCGGTGGCGCAGTGCTGCAGGCTGCTTCTGCTGACTGCCGGCTGCCAGAAATTTGGCTGTTCAAATCTCACCAGGCTCAAGGTTGACTCAGCCTTCCATCCTTCCATAAAATGAGGACCCAAATTGTTGGGGGCAATATACTGACTCTGTAAACTGCTTAGAGAGGGCTGTAAAGCACTAAAAAAGTGGTATATAAGTCTAAGTGCTATTGCTATACAGTCATTTCAGGAAAGGGCTTCATAATCCATCTGTATTACGGACAACCATGAATGAATTGGAGGGCTTCACGTACCAGGCTAAGCCATGTGATTTATGGGCCTAGAATTGGCTGTGTTTGTATAACCTGTTAGGCTATAACAGTTATTCATAAATTATGGTGGCTAGGTACATGCCTTCTGTTAAAGCATAAGCCACATCTCCCAATGCATAATGGTTGGGTAGCCAAGCATGATGTATGGAATAAGTTATGATGTGATGGCTGCAGGCCAGTTTACTCCAAGGTATCTGAGGGAACAACTCTCCAGTCAGAGTTTTTATAAAAGGGGAAGAGTAACGGAGGACTCATTGCATGTTCCTCAGAATGAACATGTCTTGTCTTCATGGAATGAACATCCAAACGTTCCATGTTTCTGAGGAGACTTTTGTGAAAAGCACCTACAACAGGGGTGTCAAACTCAAGGCCCG